GTGTGTGTGTGTGTGTGTGTGTGTGTGTGTGTGTGTGTGTGTGTGTGTGTGTGTGTGTGTGTTTAAGTGGTGAATTAACATTGTTGAGAGGGCTGGGTAAGTGGCTCAGAGTGGTCTCACTGCCAGAGCATATTCATTTCAAAGCCAACTCTGAGACAGACACCAGGGAAAGGGAGAGCATGGAGGTTTACTGGCTAATCTGGTCAGAGAGTGTGCTGGAAGCTTTGCTGAATATTCAGTAGACTGGACGAAAACATCGATTTAATTTCTGACTACAACATCACTCGCAATGCTCTCCCTTAAGGATAGTTCTACAATCTGAGATTTCACCTTGTGAACTTGCAGCAACCTTTTGCCTGTGTTTGAGTATGTGTCCATGGGTGTGTGCGTGTTTGTGTGTGAGTGAAAAAGACTATCCACCTATGCAGCAGGACTTGAAATTGATCTATCTACTCTTTACATTTTTCATAAAAGAAGAAAAGCAAGTTGTGACCTTAAATGACATAAGGTTGGCTTGAACTGCACCCAGCTAGCACATTTGGTTCTTTGGAAGTTGTGGGAATGTACATATTTGGTTTCACATTGGATCTGGGAACGAAGCCATTACTTTCCTGACCGGTAAAACAGAAAGTTTTTTAAATGTTCTGAAAAACGGAAGTGGAAATTTCACCTGTTGTGTGAATGTTTCTTTTTATGTTGCAGGGAGATTCTGAGAACATTTTACTCCGGTTCCTTTAAAGGTTTCCTGGGAGGTTTTATTAACGGTCTGAGAACCAAAAATAGAGAGAGTTTTGTTGATGCTGAGAATGGAATGTATTTGTTTTTAAATAACATTCTTAGAACATTTTCTGAACATTACTAGTTTTCTTGTGGTTTTTATGGAAAGTTTTCTTAATGTTTTCGGAACAATTTGAGAACATGACTTGAAATAGAACCATGATGAAACCTGTAGGAAACGTTGTGTTGATGTACTGAAATTCCCACAGAACAAAGTTGTTTCTTAATGTTCTCTGAAGTATTTGAGAACATTCCCAATTTCAAACCAGTTGGAGAATGTTCCTAGAACATGTAAATTAAATGTAACCATGTCTGAACTTTTAGGAAACGTTCTGTTAAAGTAGTGGTCACCAACTGGTGGATCGCAATCAACTGGTCGATCTCCAAGGTATTCCTAGTCGATTGCCAAACATTTTTGTAAAAAAAACAATGATTAAGCCTTGTGTTCCTATTTCTTTTTTATTAATCTCGCACTGTTGGCAGTAGTTGCAACCGATTTAGCTGCCCTGCACGCCGGGTAGGCAAAGTGTTCCCATTTTGAACCATTTCATGTGTCTGAAGGTACAAACTATATAGGCCTACCGCTGGCTAATCGGATGGCTCAGATTACCGTGTCTGCAGTAGCGTAGCAGGCATAAAATAAAGTTCATACTGTGAGATTTCAAGTGTTTTAAAACCATGACTAGAGAGAGACTGTCAACGAATATAGCAAAGAGCTGCTGTTATTATAAGTGAGTTAATGTTTACGTTTTTACTCAGCACTGTCAACACATTGTATTCAAGACTTTTATAAGCCATTTTATAAGTCTTTTTTAATATCAAGGAATATTCAACGGAGGGACGTTGAGAGGCGGACCTCAGTCTGCTGCTCTCTCCCTCCGCTGAGACTGACCATCAGATGCAGGTAACATCAGCACAGTAAAATAAAAATAAAAAGCAAATTATTTAAATGTATGCTCACTCAGCTGTGCCACACAAGTAATACAACAACTGATCATATTGCCAACCTCAAATTTTTAAATAAATATATTTCTTTAATGTTTTGAACAACAATGCATTGGCAGGGCAATTCAAGCAAAGCCAATATGCAGTGATAATGTATATTGGGCCTATAGCCTACTGCACAAACCTCACTGCAACAGTACTTTTTTTAATAGGTTAATGTTGCATAGGCTTAAGTTCTTTATGACATGTTAAAAAAAATCTGTGCGGTAGATCTCGGCTTGTATTTTGACTCAGAAAGTGAACAGAAACTCAGATAACGTTGGTGACCACTGTGTTAAAGTAATGAAATACAATGAAAATAATGTTATATATTTTTGTCAAGTTCCTTAAGTTAACCTTTTCACGTGTGAGTTCCAAATATCTCTAACAGTCGCCCCAGCGTGAGTGTTTTTATGCGTCAAAATACACTCACTGTTCCAAAATGTGATTGTTACGCAATAGGACAGTTAACGCATGCTGCTCTCAAACCAAAGCACGCTAGCTGATAATTATCTATAGGCTATGTTTCAACTTGTCAAGTTCAAATTATTTTCTAACAAGTTTTATTTTCTAATAACAGTTTGAATTGAGGTGTGTTCCACCTCCTCATTAATTCACATAGAAGTAGCCCATTTCACTGTTGCGGACAATTTACGTTTGAGGCATTACTGAGCCGGGCAACCGTTTATCTTCGACAGAGCCCAAGCACTTCCCCAGTGTTTCCCCAGATCAAGCATGCAGACATTTGCGCATACCCTGTTTGCCTTCATTGTTGTTTTCCTTACTAATAATAATAATTAATTAATAAATGTGTGTGTTCCTATCAAAGTAAGTGCCTTATTGCGTTATCATTATAGCTCGTTTCTGTATATCGTGTTGTTGTTTCTACTGTAGCACACCGTATGTACGTATGGAACATAATGTATTTACTGTTTTATTCACGTTTTCAAGTTCTGGTGACAAATCATGAATTCCGATTCTTGCATAGATTGTAATGCTTTTTTGAAGGTTGTTCTGATTATGATGAGCTGATGCTAAGCTAATTGCCAGCTATGTGTGGGGCCATGCTTGTTGACATCATACAATGCATTCTGTTGTCACGTAAACGTCTGTCAGACCAAAGATGTTATAACAAAATGATGTGAAGGGATGGTTCACTCGTCTTTCAAGTAAACATCTGGAAGTGAATGATGGTAGACGACACACCCCCTTCAACATACATACTGCAAACAGACCAACCTCATCATGTAACCTCTTATCTTTGGTTGACGCGAAAACAAAACATGGCGGCGCACACAAACTACCCATCGTCGGATTACTTTTAAATTTTTTAAAAGTGTTTTACTCAATTATGTCGATCACTGGTGAGCTCACCCGTGATATGATGAATTGTACAGTTGAATTCGGAAGTTTACATACACCTTAGCCAAATACATCTAAACTCAGTTTTTCACAATTCCTGACATTTAATCCTAGTAAAGATTCCCTGTCTTAGGTCAGTTTGGATCACCACTTTATTTTAAGAATGTGAAATGTCAGAATAATAGTAGAGAGAATGATTTATTTCAGCTTTTATTTCTTTCATCACGTTCCCAGTGGGTCAGAAGTTTACATACACTCAATTAGTATTTGGTAGCATTGCCTTTAAATTGTTTAACCTGGGTCAAACATTTTGGGTAGCCTTCCACAAGCTTCCCACAATAAGTTGGGTGAATTCTGGGCCATTCCTCCTGACAGAGCTGTTGTAACTGAGTCAGGTTTATAGGCCTCCTTGCTCGCACACGCTTTTTCAGTTCTGCCCACAAATGTTCTATAGGATTGAGGTCAGGGCTTTGCCACTCCAATACCTTGACTTTGTTCTTAAACCATTTTGCCATAACTTTGGAAGTATGTTCGGGGTCATTGTCCATTTGGAAGAACCATTTGCGACCAAGCTTCCTGACTGATGTCTTGAGATGTTGCTTCAATATATCCACATAATTTTCCTTCCTCATGATGCCATCTATTTTGTGAAGTGCACCAGTCCCTCCTGCAGCAAAGCACCCCTACGGCATGTTGCTGCCACCCCCGTTGTTCACGGTTGGGATGGTGTTCTTCAGCTTGCAAGCGTCCCCCTTTTTTTCCTCCAAACATAACGATGGTCATTATGGCCAAACAGTTCTATTTTTGTTTCATCAGACCAGATTATATTTCTCCAAAAAGTACGATCTTTGTCCCCAAGTGCAGTTGCAAAGCAGACTTGAGGAGGTCTACAAAAAAATTTCTGAGGTCTTGGCTGATTTCTTTTGATTTTCCTATGATGTCAACCAAAGAGGCACTGAGTTTGAAGGTAGGCCTTGAAATACATCCACAGGTACACTTCCAATTGACTCAAATGATGTCAATTAGCCTATCATTTTCTGGAATTTTCCAAGCTGTTTAAAGGCACAGTCAACTTAGTGTATGTAAACTTCTGACCCACTGGAATTGTGATACAGTGACTTGTAAGTGAAATAATCTGTCTGTAAACAATTGTTGGAAAAATTACTTGTGTCAAGCTCAAATTAGATGTCCTAACCGACTTGCCAAAACTATTGTTTGTTAACAAGACATTTGTGGAGTGGTTGAAAAACGAGTTTTAATGACTCCAACCTAAGTGTATGTAAACTTCCGACTTCAACTGTAAATAGTAATTGCTATTAGTTCATTCATATTATGGTTTCTGTCAGCTGAGAGTTAGCTAAATATGCGCTACAACTAATGCAGCCTACATTTTCCGGTCTGGATGAGAGTTGTGTTATGCTGTTGCTACTTCTGTGAATGTCTGAATATTGCATCCAAAAATAAACTGCTCAGGTTGAGGACACAACATTGTAAAGACTGTGTTTATGCTAAATGTTTCTGCGTAAAAACAGTGTGGCCAGCTCAAACGCTGGACGTTCTAAATAAGTGTTCTAATCACACCGGTTTGAGTGTACTTTGCAGGGACCACTGTAGAATAATCACACCTGTGTGTTCGCACGTGTCAATGGGTTAAATGTGCTGACAATGTTCCAAAGACAAGCAACTATCCTGCACCATTCCCAGAAAGTTGTATGCAAAATAACCAAAGGACAACCACACTCTCACCAAGCTCTAAGAAACATATGGTTCTCAGAACGATATGTGCTAGCTGGGCAGTGACCACTATGGCTGCTGTTGGAGCGGAGAGCTGGCACTTACACTTGGATGTCCAGCATGATCCTCTTGTCCTCTTCCACGTGGATGCCCCAGATGCAGTCCTGGCCCTTGTCGTAGGTCTCGGGCCAGTTTGGAGAGAGAACCACCCCGGCTGAGTCTGTAATCTCACCACTACACACAGCTGGGACACACACATAAACACAGAGTCAAATCCAAATACTGAGAAACACATACAGTGGGGAAAAAAAGTATTTAGTCAGCCACCAATTGTGCAAGTTCTCCCACTTAAAAAGATGAGAGAGGCCTGTAATTTTCATCATAGGTTCACGTCAACTATGACAGACAAATTGAGATTTTTTTTCTCCAGAAAATCACATTGTAGGATTTTTAATTAATTTATTTGCAAATTATGGTGGAAAATAAGTATTTGGTCACCTACAAACAAGCAAGAGATCTGGCTCTCACAGACCTGTAACTTCTTCTTTAAGAGGCTCCTCTGTCCTCCACTCGTTACCTGTATTAATGGCACCTGTTTGAACTTGTTATCAGTATAAAAGACACCTGTCCACAACCTCAAACAGTCACACTCCAAACTCCACTATGGCCAAGACCAAAGAGCTGTCAAAGGACACCAGAAAGAAAATTGTAGACCTGCACCAGGCTGGTAAGACTGAATCTGCAATAGGTAAGCAGCTTGGTTTGAAGAAATCAACTGTGGGAGCAATTATTAGGAAATGGAAGACATACAAGACCACTGATAATCTCCCTCGATCTGGGGCTCCACGCAAGATCTCACCCCGTGGGGTCAAAATGATCACAAGAACGGTGAGCAAAAATCCCAGAACCACACGGGGGGACCTAGTGAATAACCTGCAGAGAGCTGGGACCAAAGTAACAAAGCCTACCATCAGTAACACACTGCGCCACCAGGGACTCAAATCCTGCAGTGCGAGACGTGTCCCCCTGCTTAAGCCAGTACATGTCCAGGCCCGTCTGAAGTTTGCTAGAGTGCATTTGGATGATCCAGAAGAGGATTGGGAGAATGTCATATGGTCAGATGAAACCAAAATAGAACTTTTTGGTAAAAACTCAACTCGTCGTGTTTGGAGGACAAAGAATGCTGAGTTGCATCCAAAGAACACCATACCTACTGTGAAGCATGGGGATGGAAACATCATGCTTTGGGGCTGTTTTTCTGCAAAGGGACCAGGACGACTGATCCGTGTAAAGGAAAGAATGAATGGGGCCATGTATCGTGAGATTTTGAGTGAAAACCTCCTTCCATCAGCAAGGGCATTGAAGATGAAACGTGGCTGGGTCTTTCAGCATGACAATGATCCCAAACACACCGCCCGGGCAACGAAGGAGTGGCTTCGTAAGAAGCATTTCAAGGTCCTGGAGTGGCCTAGCCAGTCTCCAGATCTCAACCCCATAGAAAATATTTGGAGGGAGTTGAAAGTCTGTGTTGCCCAGCGACAGCCCCAAAACATCACTGCTCTAGAGGAGATCTTCATGGAGGAATGGGCCAAAATACCAGCAACAGTGTGTGAAAACCTTGTGAAGACTTACAGAAAACGTTTGACCTGTGTCATTGCCAACAAAGGGTATAATATAACAAAGTATTGAGAAACTTTTGTTATTGACCAAATACTTATTTTCCACCATAATTTGCAAATAAATTCATTAAAAATCCTACAATGTGATTTTCTTGATTTTGTTTTCTCATTTTGTCTGTCATAGTTGACGTGTACCTATGATGAAAATTACAGGCCTCTCTCATCTTTTTAAGTGGGAGAACTTGCACAATTGGTGGCTGACTAAATACTTTTTTTCCCCACTGTACATTCATGGCCAACACTCTTGTGATAATCCAAAATAGTTCACACAAAGATAAAAGTAAACACCAACATCAAACTAAACTAAACTTTTTTTTAACCTTTATTTAACCAGGTAAGCCAGTTGAGCATGTAGGCCTACTCACAGTAAAGCCCTCTTCAAAGAGGAAAAACAAGTGATCAGTGATTGAAAATCTAAACTGTCAGTGCCAGCTCTGCTAATGATCTGAAATAATCTGTGGTTTTCCTGTTGGTCTGGGGACTGTGGGACATCTTTCAAATGCTGTGTGAATTCACATGGGTAAATAAGAGACAGCGATGAAAGAGCATCACTGCTGAACAGAATACCATTCGTAATGACTTTCCATGCTCCTTGACAACTCAAAAGCAAGAGGGGTGGTCTAGAACCATTACAAATGGCTTACGCTGGAAAATACAGCACCATAGCTCAGCAGAAATGGAATCCTTTAATGTCTACCTTTGCTGAAGAGCTATAAGATCATGGGCAGTGTGGTGTGGGGCAGTGCGGAGAGAGAGAGAGAGAGAGAGAGAGAGAGAGAGAACCTGGCCTTTGATGGCCACTGGCCATATGGCTCAGTGCATAGCCTAGCCTGCACAGGGGCCTTTAGTCTGTAGCACTACTAAAACCTGCCCTGGAAACACATGAGCTAGAATTCATTACATATTGAAAAGTAATTGAGGATCAGATCCTGGGGTAGCTGGGTTTATTGTGGCTGGGGTTCCTAGATTGTACTCAGATGCTGATAGAGAATTTGCCAAACATGAGCAGATGAAATTATGTGGCCTGGCTTTGTAATTGGATGAGGACTCACCCCTGCAGGCTGGCTCTGTCTCATTCCACTGGGGGTTCTCTGCGTCCAGACACTCAATGATGACTGAGCCCTGCTCCAGAGTGTAGCCAGGGTCACAGGCAAACTCAACCACCGCACCCACACTGTAGGCCGTGTCACTGCTGGTGAAGTTGCCATACTTCACAAAGGGCCCATAGCATGTGCCCTTTGCAAAAGCTGCAGGACACAAATCACACATGGATTTTTTGTTACAATAAGTCACCATCAAACCTCAATTTGACATTACTTAGCATAGGTTGAATAAATGCTAGTATTCTGTTGATTCTTTGAAGAACCTTCATATCTGATGGCTGCTCCCGTAGAGGTGACCGTTCCATCTGTGGTGAACTCCACAAAGAGGTGACGGCCTGTGCTCACCACGCCCTCATTGGGCAGGTACTCCACCTCGTAGGAGTCATACACCGGAGGGGAGTCAATGTTGTTCCCATTCTTTATAAGGAGTCTGAAACACAATCAAAAACCATGCATAATAAAATGGGGGAAAGGGGAATGAGACACACTTGCCATTGAGGACTAAGAGAAACATAAAAAGGGAGTGGTGAGGGGTTCTGAAGTGGCGCTTATTGTTTCATCAGTGGCTGTAATATCCCTGTGATAAGATTCTACACAACTCGGCAGCAAGCGGCTTCATTAAATGTCAGTTTGTTACCATAGCCTTGAGACAGTAGTTATGGTACAAAAATGTAATTAAATACCGGCTCCCCGCGTCTGAGTGGCCTCTATAGTCCCTCAATTAATTTGCATGAGGAAATACAGTTAATTATTTGAAATTACATAAAGCCGTTTCAATTTCATCCTCCAATCCGTTAAAGTTTGACTCATAGTCACTCACATATGGGATTTAGTTGCCTTAGCAAGCATATCCTTGAGCGATTTTAAGGCATACAATTAGGCTAGGTGTTGTTGCCCAGTGTTGCATCGCATTCTGACAGCCTGAGGTAAAACATGCCATATCTAGCCCAACTGGCAACTAATTAGCAACAAATAAAAGAGACGCCTCCAAGTCCTACCACTTGAGCACGCACCAACACCCCCCTACCCACACACACACACACACACACACACACACACACACACACACACACACACACACACACACACACACACACACACACACACACACACACACACACACACACAATGCTTCCATCCAGCTTTCTGTGTACTCTACCTGTCATCATCCTCAGCCAAAGCCACTTTCTCAAAGTGAACATGAAGCCGGTGGCCTTCAGGAGCCTCCAGTACCCAATGGCACGTCAAGTTGTTGCTGTAGTTGCCAGGGAATCCAGGAGAGACGATACGGCCCAACGTGGCATTTTTTATCATACCACCACAGGAAGCTGCATTGAGGATGGATTTGATAAGAGAGAGAAGACGGACAGAGAGGAAGGGAAGGATAGGACACAAATAACTTCAATATCCCTTTGTAGAAAGGCTTACTTTCTATAACAATGTTTGTTTTCTGCTCTCTCTTTGCTGAGTAATACCACAGTACATAGAACCTGAGGTTTGGAGGAAGAAAGTTTCCATTCCTGTACTGAAAGCGAGGGAGAATGATTGGGAGTCTGGGAGCTGTGTGGTGGTCTGGCGAATAGCCATCTCACCAGGAACTGGTGCCTGACTGTGTGTCTGTGTGTGATGATGGACTAGTGAGGAGAGCATAGCAGCAGAATAGTATCAGTGCAGAACTGCTGTAGGGAGTGAGAGTGGGGCTGGCAGAAGAGATGGTGCTATCCCAGAGCAGGTGAATGTTAGTCATGCAGCCCACTCCTAATTACTATAGCGTTAGCCACTAGCCAGGTCCAAATGGGCTGGTTTAGCCCTGTCTCGTCTCCGTAGCACTGCTCCTTCTCCCCATACTGGTAATCAGACACTACGAAACCAGGCCTCACAGCACAACCAATCAACCTTGGGCCTTAATGAGGATGCTAGACTGACATGGTGTAAAAGGTCAACTAAGGCCGAAGTACCATCTATCACTGGTATACAGGGAGGCATGGGCTTTACACAATGTGAGGTTGGCAGTCACAGTGAGGGCTATTATTTTCACAGTGGATATAAATAGTCGTCAAGTAGGCCTACCTACAATATTTACAAAATAATAAACAGGCCGAAGAGCAACATAAGTCAGAGCACTGCCGACTTAACCCAGGCCTCAATGTATTATAGCAATTTGGCTATACAGCTGCAAGTGTAACCAGTGTGAAATTGCTGGCTAGTTAGCGGTGCGTGCTAGTAGCGTTTCAACCGGTGACGTCACTCACTCTGTGACCTTGAAGTAGTTGTTTCCCTTGCTCTGCAACGGCCGTGGCTTTTGTGGAGCAATAATAATAATAATATGCCATTTAGCAGACGCTTTTATCCAAAGCGACTTACAGTCATGCGTGCATACATTTTTGTGTATGGGTGGTCCCGGGGATCGAACCCACTACCTTGGCGTTACAAGTGCCGTGCTCTACCAGCTGAGCTACAGAGGACCACCCATACACAAAAATGTATGCACGCATGACTGTAAGTCGCTTTGGATAAAAGCGTCTGCTAAATGGCATATTATTATTATTATTATTATTGCTCCACAAAAGCCACGGCCGTTGCAGAGGGTTCCTGGTTCAAGCCCAGGTAGGAGCGAGGAGAAAGACGAAAGTATTGCCAAACCTTTCCATGTCTGGCCACATCAGGAAATCCTTATTTTAGGCTGGATCCTTGGATACAAAGTGGATAAATGATGAGGTCTTACTCATTCAGTTTACCATGCTCACGTGAGAAAGGGAACACCCACTTATACGGCAGGATTTTTTAAAGTGGGAAACTGCACAATAACAGATAGCTCTGGTCTACTCATTGTCCCCTCCCCGCTTGCCCTACCCACCAGACCAGAAAAAATGTGCCAGTGAGATGTCTCTGCTTGGAATAACCAAACGTAGCAGGTGTAAAAGAACCGCCTGAGCGGGGTTTCACAGATTTCACATCCTGCTTCACACGGTCAGGAGAGGCATACTGTGTCTATGAGAATCAGGGCTACCGCTCAATGCAGACCATTTCAATCTATGGTGTCAACAGATCGCTTTAGAAGCAAAAATGGCAATTGGAATCGGTACCAGAACCACGCAGGTCCCCTAAACAGGGGACGTTATATCGAAGAGGTTTTAATGAACAAATCCATGAATGGAACAGAGTAATTTTGACGCAAAACCAAATGAATCGGTGTGCGACCATAAAGTCTCATACACATTTTTTCTAATGACGACTTATGACAAATATGTTTAGAGATCGAATTACATAAACACTCTTTATGAAAAAACGTGTTAGTTGCTCAAGTACCACTGCCATAACACGACACTATTGCTCCTAATCCTGGATTTCTATAAAAAAAAGTCTGGAAAACGGAATGGGTGTTACAGTGAGAGAATTCAAGTTGCACAGTGGTAAACCAGATACCTGATAGGCCAACCTGTTCTCAGAACATTTCGTATTATTCTGTACTTAAAGCAGATACTCCATTTAGTATGATATGTTACATTTCGTATGGTGTGTATTAATTTGTGGATGTCCATCATCCATTTCATATGATCTGTTACTATTTGCAATTCATACAATATGTTACGAATTGCAATTCGTACAATATGTTATGAATTTGCAAAACGAACAATTTGTAAAAAAATTAGCAAAAACACATACGTTACAAATTCCAATTTGTTGTTGCTAACGTTGGCTAGGGGCTAACGCTAACGTTAGCTAGCCGGCTAACGTTAGCTAGGCTAGGGGTTAAGGGTTAGGGTTAAGGTTAGGGTTTAGTTTAAAGGGTTAAGGTTAGGGTTAGGGGAAGGGTTAGCTAAAAGGGTTACGGTTAGGGTTAGGGGAAGAGTTACCTAACATGTTAAGTAGTTGCAAAGTAGCTAAGAAGTAGTAAGTAGTTGCAAAGTTACTAATTAGCTAAAATGCTAAAGTTGTCTGTGATCATTATGATTTAAATTTACTATGTTACATCTAGTCTATGAGAGCAGGCTGGATAGGCCTACCATAAAAAGCACACAATAAACCTCAATTAACCTCTGGTCAGTGGGAGACAAATAACACCCAGTCCATTTAAACTGAGTTTAATTACTTTAATCATTCAGCTGAAATGTTATTCTCCTCAGTTGTCAGACTCTGTGGCGTTCTCTGAGGGGATACTATATATGTGACCGACCGGCTCGATTCGGACTTATGTAAAAAAAAAAAAAAAATTGAGTTTACATTGGATAAAGGTAAAGACTCAGAGCTAGAAAATGGTATATCATACACTACAGTTGAGGAACAATGGGAAAGTAATTCTGCTTTGAAAGTTGATATTTGTAACCTCACTTTTGAGAAAATGGCCTTTGAATGTTTTGGTACACCTATTGGAGAGCTCTTCTTTGTCTACACCCATTCAGTATCTTTCACACCCTCTTAAGCTTTAGTCCCACCCATCTCTTTAAGGATTGATCATAGCGTTTTGTCCTAACAACAGCAGTCAAGCACCCAAGCTAACTGGCTAACGTTGGCTAGCTTGCTAGCTACTTCCAGACACAAAACTCGGTCCTCCAGAAAGTGGAGAGCAACACTATATATATATATTTTAAAGTCGCGTTAGACAGGATTACGTTCACATACTGACCAGCTCAAATAGACAGAAGCTTGCTACATGGCAGACCAATCCGAACTCATCTCTCGGCATGTCCAGCTCACTCATTATCTCAGCCAATCATGGCTAGCGGGAAGGTTGCTGTCTTTTTCCAAGGCTAAACCAACTAGGCTCGTAATCTAACAATTTTATTCGTATTTACAGATCGCATACAAGTTTGTTATTAAGGCACATGAAAGTTCACATTTTCCAGAAGGCATTTCTGCCCAAAAACGCATTTTGATAAAAAAAAAAATAATAAATTCAAATGGCTCTCCTGTGAAGTAGTGACGCGCGAGATACACCTAGTTTCCTGAAACTAGTCACATATCCCCATTGGTTCTCAGTGAGTGGCTGGATGGATCCTGGGGTTGAAGAGCTAAAGTGTGTATTTCTGTGTGTGTGTGTGTGTGTGTGCGTTTGGCAGGAAGGAAGCAGTATTGTTGGCTCTTACCCTGGCATTTGGGCTCCTTGCCACTCCAGTAAGGTGTAGTGGCGTTGCGACAGGTGAGCATGGTAGGGCCTTGCATCTGGTAACCGGTCAGACACTGGAAGTAGGCCTCTCCCCCAGCATGGAGGTGAGTCACTGATACCTCCCCATTGGCTGGCTCCTTAGGGAAGGCACAGCTTAGCACGAAGGCTAGATGGAGAGAGAGAGAGAGAGAGAGAGAGAGAGAGAGAGAGAGAGAGAGAGAGAGAGAGAGAGAGAGAGAGAGAGAGAGAGAGAGAGAGAGAGAGAGAGAGAGAGAGAGAGAGAGAATTAAGATTTAATCAGTGATGACTGGTTTGATATGATTTCATGAAGCATGGAGGAGATGGTGTGGGGGTGCTTAGCTGGTGACACTGTCAGTGATTTATTTAGAATTGAAGGCACACTTAACCAGCATGGCTACCACAGGATTCTGCAGCGATACGCCATCCCATCTGGTTTGCGCTTAGTGGGACTATCATTTGTTTTTCAACAGGACAATGATCCAACACACCTCCAGGCTGTGTAAGGGCTATTTGACCAAGAAGTAGAGTGATGGAGTGCTGCATCAGATGACCTGGCCTCCACAATCACCCGACTTCAACCCAATTGAGATGGTTTGGGATGAGTTGGACCACAGAGTGAAGGAAAAGCAGCCAACAAGTGCTCAGCATATGTGGGAACTCCTTCAAGACTGTTGGAAAAGCATTCCATGTGAAGCTGGTTGAGAGAATGCCAAGAGTGTGCAAAGCTGTCATCAAGGCAAAAGGTGGCTATTTGAAGAATCTCAAATACAGTATAAAATATATTTTGGTTTGTTTAACACTTTTTTGGTTACTACATGATTCCGTGTGTGTTATTTCATAGTTTTGATGTCTTCACTATTATTCTACAATGTAGAAAATAGTAAAAATAAAGAAAAACCCTTGAATGAGTAGGTGTATCCAAACTTTTGACTGGCACTGTATATGTCAAATCTATAGGTTTACCAAACGTTTAAGTGATCATCAATTAAGAACAGTCGGATTAAGTATTTTAACAAAAGAGAAGAGAATCATATCTAAAGTAATGTGAGCATTGCATTGTGAAAGGCACTTACTTTATACGAAAAGTTTGGTGAAAAAGTAACTGTATGATTTTGTGTGTTATACTTAGTCAATTGAAAATGTTCTTAGGGTTTTGAAACAACTGCCTTTTTGATTATCTGTTTTGAGTTTTGTACTAAGAGTTGTGAAAATGTAGCACATACTTGTGAAAGTTCCACCAAAGCAATAACCTCCCCCCCCGGTATTATCATCATTATTTATCCTGCTGACAGTCACTTTTACACCTGCTTACTTGTACATATCTACCTCAACTACCACCAGTATCCCTGCACATTGATAAGGTACTGGTACTGACCCTGGATATAGCGTTCATTCTCGTCTGTTTTTATTTGTCGGGATTGTATTTTATCTTATTTTCTTACCTTTGATATTGAATACTGCATTGTTGGCTAAGAGCTTGCAAGTCAGCATTTCACCTTACTGTTTCCACCTGCTGTATCCTGTGCACGTGACAAATAAACTTTGATTTGATTGGACAAAGCACACACACACACACACACACACACACACAGAGTAAATGTTGTGTATGAAAAAGATGGTATAATTGGGTCAAGCAGAGCTGTTTTCATTAGTATACTACTTGGGTTATAAATACTCCACTCCAGCTGCTACAATTAATTGCAGTTTAAAAGCACATTTGCAAATAGATTGTGACATGTTTGCAATGACTAAAGAGTTTCAGTGTGCTGCTACTTCTTTTTTAAGTGCACGTCTACACACACAGCTGTGGCAGGGAAATGTAGGTTTGGTGTAGAGGGTAGAAGTAGAGTTGCAAATCAGGACCTTGTTTCCCAGATAACTTCAGAATAAAGTTGACTACAAATCAGTGGTGGAGAAAGTACCCAATTGTCAAACTTGAGTTAAAGTAAAAATACCTTAATAGAAAATTACTAAAGGAAGATGGAAGTAGCCCATTAAAATACTACTTGCGTAAAAGTCTAAAAGTATTTGGTTTTAAATATACTTAAGTATCAAAAGTAAATGTAATTGCTAAAATATACTTACGTTTCAAAAGTGAACATATAAATGATTTCAAATTCCTTATATTACGCAAACCAGATAGCACCATTTAAAAAAACATTTACAGATAGCCAGGGGCACACTCCAACACTCAGATATAATTTAATTTACAAATGAAGCATGTGTGTTTAGTGAGTCCGCCAGATCTGAGGCAGTAGGGATGATCAGGGATGTTCTCTTGATAAGTGTGTGAATTGGACAAATTTTCCTGTCCTGCTATGCATTCAAAATGTAATGAGTACTTTTGGGTGTCAGGGAAAATGTATGGAGTAAAAAGTACACTATTCTATTTAGGAATGTAGTGAAGTAAAAGTTGTAAAAAATATAAATAGTAATGTACAGATAACCCAAAAAACGACTTGAAGGAAAACGTTCAAAATACAGAAATCATCACTGTATGAGGCATTTTGCATTATATGATGCAAATGCATCATATAGGGATGATTTCTGTATTTTGAAAGTCACATATCTTGAAAACGTGATTGCTGACAAGCAAAACCTTTTGGGACTATATCAACAATGGAGTAATGAAACAAATACCGAAATATAGTCTTTGGGTGGCGATTTCCTTTAAGTATATCTTTAAAGTAATTTGTAAAGTAATTTTTATTTAACTTTACACCACTGCTACAAATACAAAGTTGCTAAAGTTTTTGCAATTCTTACAAACAAGTAAAGGATAAAATTATGCTTCAAATGAAAACCGAAATGACTGCATTAAACGATACATAGTCTACATGGGCCTATTTATATTTAAATCAATTCCATGTTCAATCAATTGAGTTCTACTTTGAGACTAGGCTACTGTCTGTAATTTGTGCCTCAATGTGTTTCATGATGTGTGACAACATGTGTGCAATGATGTGCCCAATCTGTGATTTACTACATTATTATTGGGTAAGTATAACAAGCCGCCTCAATAGACAATTTGCAGCAATAGGTGGTAATAATTCTAATGTTAAGGTAAGATATGAATGGAGAAAGCTGATCCGAGAGCAGCGGTGCTTTTCTTTTGATCCTATCAGTATCGACACATGGTCTAACGACGCATTTAGTGAACGTTCTCTCTACTTGCTTGTTTGGGAAACACTCTTAAAAAGTTGGCTCGTAAAAAACGATGCATCTGGTACGATCATCGTGATGCTTAAGTTACATCTCAACTGGGAAACGAGGCCCAGTTCCATTTCAGAGCCGGTCCTTTAATGTTATAGTGGGGAGAAGAATTGCCTCTGTACCAGTTGTCAAAGCACTGTTAGTCCAGCGCAGCAAGATGAATGGGATTCAATTTCCCTGTCCTTAAAAGAATTGTGCTACATAGGATGTATGGTAGCAATCATTAGTTGGCGTGGATGATGGATTGAGCTAACCATGTCCGTAATGGGAGCTATAAAACAGGCCTCTGCCTGTCGGAGCGCAGGCCCACTCTGCTCTGCCTCACTGGTGCAGCAGCCTCTCTGAGATTATGTTCCTGAGGTCCAGTACAGATAACACCAAAACCTGGAGTCTGTTGAAAAAACACCTTGACAGCAAAAATATACTTTCAACAACACTGGACCAACAATAAAGCAATAGTGACAGACAGAGGTGGTCTAAGGTAAAGCCTAGACATATTAGATATTTAGTCGAAACTCCTGCCTCTTGCCTAACTAGAGATCTACTGTAGTTGTGTTAATACCAATAATGTGTGGCATCTTTGATTGTTGCATCTGATTGCTGTTACTATAAATTACAACAGTAGTCTGTATTTCGAGCATAACAAAGCTGTTAAATAGACTCAATGTCTGCAGAGCGTGACAGCCAGAGGGTGACAGCCAGCATTAAAAACAGAGAGCAAAGACAAGGACCCCGTGGGGGATCCCTGTTTAGTATGTCTGACTCAATCCTTTACTCATTAATATGATTTGGGGGAACAGTCGGAGTGGAAATGAGCTGTTAGGTTGTGTCAACACGCAGGTGGAAACATTTCAAACAAATCTCTCAGTTCAGCTCACACTTCTGCTCTCCTGCTTTAAACCAGTCACTACACTCTTAGAAAAAAAGGTGCTATCTAGAACCTGAAAGGGTTATTCGGCTGTCCCCATAGGAGAACCCTTTGAATAACAATTTTTTGTTCCAGGTAGAACCCTTTTGAGTTCCATGTAGAACCCTTTACACAGAGGGTTCTATGTGGAACCCAAAAGAGTTCTACCTGGAACTAAAAAGTGTTCTACCTGGAATAAAAAGGGTTATCCTATGGGGACAGTCGAAGAGTGTACCTCCTCCATTACTGCTCCCCCAGACACAGGACTAAAAGGCACAGTATAGCCTGCTGCTCCTGAGACAACCACTGTGGGGACTGAGTGTGCAGACACTCAAACTGGTCTCAAAGAATTTCATATTATTCTGTACGTAAGTCTGAGATGCTCTATTTACTATGATATGTTACATTTCGTATAGTATGTATTAATTTGGGGATGTTACGAATTACAATTTGTATCATAATTTACAAATTGGCAAAATGTACAATATGTTACGAATTTGACAATGTACAATATGTTACGAAATTGCCAAACGTTTGATATGTTATGAATTCTAATTTGTTGTGGCTAATGTTAGCTAGGTGGCTAAGTGGCTAATGGTAATGTTAGCTAGCTGGCTAACGTTAGCTAGGTTAGGGGTTAGGGTTAAGGTTAAGGTTATGTTTAGGAGTTAGATTAAAGCGTTAAGGTTAGGGTTAGCAGAAGGGTTAGCTAAAAGGGTTAAGGTTAGGGTCCAAAGCACCTCTCACTCACATGGCTCTCTCAAATATCTCAATTCTTATTTACCAATGCCCATCACGAGATTGGGTCCTTCTCACAGGCATCTCAGCTCTGAAGTAGGCTACAAGTGAAGACAGACACATCGGGGACGCAACCTTCTTATCGAATTCCGAGGTGCATATTGAAGATGTTAGAAGAACTGTCCACATTTACTTTTCGTCAGCCAACAAGATTAGTAGGCCTATCGAACAGAAAAAGCACCATTCTATGTCAATCTACTCTCCTCCATAGTACAAAAGTTGACCTATTCTATTGGTCAACTTGTGCTTCTGTGCGATAAATAAATGTAACAAAATATGGGACAGTTGTGGGAATTAATACAACCAATCGCATCAAAAAACTTTGAAAAACAATGAGGCTTATGCAACAGATCAGAACGTTTAGTTTAAAATGTTGATAAACTATTGGGCTATTTCTTCATGTTATAAGCGCAGCAATGCGCACACGGCAGTAGGCTATAAGTGTGAATGTTCCAAAATGCAATCAATTAGCGGGAAAACACCATTCTCAAAAGTGACCGCAAATGCGATTATGCATGTAATGGCCCCGTGTAGCTCAGTTGGTAGAGCATGGTGCTTGCAACGCCAGGGTTGTGGGTTCGATTCCCACGGGGAGCCAGGGGGGCCAGTATGAAAATGTATGCACTCACTAACTGTAAGTCGCTCTGGATAAGAGCGTCTGCTAAATTACTAAAATGTAAAATTATTATAAAGGTGCATTTTTATGGTGAAAATGATCTTCCCCAAACTTGAAACTCACGCACCGCCTATGTATGCCAGTTAGGCTCTATACCAGTTGTAAAGGATTAATGTGCTTAATTTTAAGAGGTAATTTTGGCCACTTTAGTTATCAAAACATATAAGCCTATGGGCTAGGCTACATGAGGTGTGCGACTATGATTTGAAAAAGTCGCAAAACAAAGGCATGCACTGTTTCAAATGTATTTTTTTTTCTTCCTTTATTACTTTCAAACCCTACCACCCCTCCCGTAATTGGAGTAAACTAGTGAACAACAATGCTTAGGTCTCTACTTCCAGCTTAAACATTCTATATACATTTTATGTACACATGTTCTATTTTGTTTGTTTTTACTCCTGTCCTTCTTCTACCCTCAACCTCTCCCATCTATTTCTGATGTCCATCTGGTTTGATTTCTATTTGCCATATCTTTCAAACTGTGCTCTTTCACAACAGTTCTTAACCTATAACCTATATACGTTTTACGGACACAGTATGTTTATATTAGTTATCTTGTTGTTATTAGTTGTTATTAGTCCCAACATTCAGCTCCATTCAACCCCTCCCATCTATCTCTTAACACCATCCATATTGGATTTCTATTTGCCAGATACAGTGGGGAGAACAAGTATTTGATACACTGCCGATTTTGCAGGTTTTCCTACTTACAAAGCATGTAGAGGTCTGGAATGTTTATTATAGGTACACTTCAACTGTGAGAGACGGAATCTAAAAAATCCAGAAAATCACATTGTATGATTTTTAAGTAATTCATTTGCATTTTATTGCATGACATAAGTATTTGATACATCACAAAAGCAGAACTTAATATTTGGTACAGAAACCTTTGTTTGCAATTACAGAGATCATATGTTTCCTGTAGGTCTTGACCAGGTTTGCACACACTGCTGCAGGGATTTTGGCCCACTCCTCCATACAGACCTTCTCCAGATCCTTCAGGTTTCGGGGCTGTCGCTGGGCAATACGGACTTTCAGCTCCCTCCAAAGATGTTCTATTGGGTTCAGGTCTGGAGACTGGCTAGGCCACTCCAGGACGTTGAGATGCTTCTTACGGAGCCACTCCTTAGTTGCCCTGGCTGTGTGTTTCGGATCGTTGTCATGCTGGAAGACCCAGCCACGACCCATCTTTAATGCTTTTACTGAGGGAAGGAGGTTGTTGGCCAAGATCTCGCGATACATGGCCCCATCCATCCTCCCCTCAATACGGTGCAGTCGTCCTGTCCCCTTTGCAGAAAAGCATCCCCAAAGAATGATGTTTCCACCTCCATTCTTCATGGTTGGGATGGTGTTCTTGGGGTTGTACTCATCCTTCTTCTTCCTCCAAACACGGCGAGTGGAGTTTAGACCAAAAAGCTCTATTTTTGTCTCATCAGACCACATGACCTTCTCCCATTCCTCCTCTGGATCATCCAGATGGTCATTGGCAAACTTCAGACGGGCCTGGACTTGCGCTGGCTTGAGCAGGGAGACCTTGCATGCGCTGCAGGATTTCATTCCATGACGGCGTAGTGTGTTACTAATGGTTTTCTTTGAGACTGTAGTCCCAGCTCTCTTCAGGTCATTGACCAGGTCCTGCCGTGTAGTTCTGGGCTGATCCCTCACCTTCCTCATGATCATTGATGCCCCACGAGGTGAGATCTTGCATGGAGCCCCAGACCGAGGGTGATTGACCGTCATCTTGAACGTCTTCCATTTTCTAATAATTGCACCAACAGTTGTTGCCTTCTCACCAAGCTGCTTGCCTATTGTCCTGTTGCCCATCCCAGCCTTGTGCAGGTCTACAATTGTATCCCTGATGTCCTTACACATCTCTCTGGTCTTGGCCATTGTGGAGAGGTTGGAGTCTGTTTGATTGAGTGTGTGGACAGGTGTCTTTTATACAGGTAACGAGTGCAAACAGGTGCAGTTAATACAGGTAATGATTGGAGAACAGGAGGGCTTCTTAAAGAAAAACTAACAGGTCTGTGAGAGCCGGAATTCTTACTGGTTGGTAGGTGATCAAATACTTATGTCATGCAATAAAATGCAAATTAATTACTTAAAAATCATATAATGTGATTTTCTGGATTTTCGATTCCGTCTCTCACAGTTGAAGTGTACCTATGATAAAAATGACAGACCTCTACATGCTTTGTAAGTAGGAAAACCTGCAAAATCGGCAGTGTATCAAATACTTGTTCTCCCCACTGTATATTTCAACTGTGCTGTGATGTTTCACAAAAGTTCTGAACCTTTCTATTCTCATTGTTTCTACAGATTGTAAATTGAAAATAAACATTTTTGCTAAAAGTATTATTATATTATTGATTGATTGACTATGACTTTTCAGATCACCCAGTAGTGCTATCTGCAGGGTTATCTCCAGGTAAATATTGCAATTCTTCAGCCATTCCTGGACCTGTGACCAAAAACAAGCTACATATGGACAGTACCAAAACAAATGATCTAATGATTCTGTTGGTTGTAATTTTGGTTAGAGCAGACATTTTCAAATGTTTTTGTTAGCTGCATGTGCGACATAACTCCACCAGTCCTACCTATGATATCATTTTCGAAAATTACACTTTTTTTTTTCTTTATTCAAAAAAGTATGTTTTTTTAAATCAATTAGTACATTTGAGTTTAACCACAATATTTGTTGTATTATTTGTTCTGTCGTTTCTGGTAGATGAAATTGAAATCGCAACCAACTTTCTATGGCTTGTTTTATAAATAGTGATATTTGGGAGATTATTTCCTTTTCAAATAACTGAAAGTGAGAGGTTGTAATCTGAATAAAGGGGAAAAGGCCATTCTTGAACATAGGGTGAGACATTCTTACTAATTTGCTAGAGAGCCAGTTCGGATTTAAGTATAACTTTTGTATGACTGAAGCCTTCAGTGAGAGGTCTAATTCTTTAATGTTTAATCATTTCTGCCCTCTGAATTCATATTCATTATATAAATAGGCCTGTTTAATTTTGTCTGGCTTGCCATTCCAAATCAAATGGAATATTTTTTTCTCATATAATTTAAAAAACTGTTCGCTAGGTGTAGGCAAGACCATAAGCAAATAGGTAAACTGGGATATTACTAAAGAGTTAATCAGGGTGATTTTTCGACAAATAGACAGGTATTTACCTTTCCATGGTAGCAAGATCTGATCTATTTTTGCTAACTTTCTATTAAAATGTATTGGAGTGAGATCATTTATTCATTTTGGGATATGTATACCGAGTATATCCACATCACCATCAGACCATTTTATTGGTAAACTACACGGTAATGTAAAAGTTGTATTTTTTTGTGATCCAATACATACGTATTATAGTACACTTATCATAATTTGGTTGTAATTCAGAGAGGTTAGAACATTTATCTAGATCCTCTATGAGGCTGTGGAGGGATCCAAGTTGAGGATTTAAGAGAAAACATGAATCATCAGCTTACAATGACACCCTTGTTTTTATGCCCTGGATTTCTAATCCCTTGATATTATTGTTGGATCTGATTTTAATAGCTAACATATTGATGGCCATAATAAATAGATATGCCGATAGTGGACAACATTGTTTTACTCCTCTTGACAGTTTAAAACTTTCAGAGAAATAGCCATTATTTACTATTTTACACCTAGGGTTACTATACATGATTTTAACCCATTTTATAAGAGATTCTCCAAAATTGAAATGTTCCAGGAATTTATATATAAACTCGAGTCGTACTTTATCAAAAGCCTTTTCAATGTCAGCTATGAATAGCAGGCCTGGTTCCCAGATTTTTCATTGTGTTCTATTGTTTCCAGTACATGCCTTATATTATCTCCAATGTATTGTCCATGTAAAAAACCTGTCTGATTAGGATGAATAATGTCAGACAATACCTTTTTAATTCTATGCGCTATACATTTTGCAAGAATCTTTGCATCACAACACTGAAGTGTAAGGGGCCTCCAATTTTTTTAATGGACTGGATCTTTTATATTTCCCACTTGTATCCTGTTTCAGTAATAATAAAATCAGACCTTCTTGTTGAGTGTCTAAATCTACCATTTACATAGGAGTGGTTAAAACATGCTGATAACGGTCCTCCGAGTATATCCCAAAAAAATTGGTATACCTCAACTGGTATGCCATCCAGCCCTGGAGTTTTCCCGGACTTAAAGGCTTCAATTGCATCAAGAAGTTCCTCATCTGTAATTTCACCTTCACATGAGTCTTTCTGTACGGCTGTTAATTTTACATTATCAATAAATAAAAAATCCATACATTAGCTACGGTTAGAGGAGATGGAGGAGACTGGAATGAAAATGTATGTAATTATAACTGGCTATACTTATTTCACCATTTACCATAATGAGATACACGTTTCAAATCTATTTACCATAATATATGTTTGTAAATGTACCATTAAAAAGTACCATAGTGATTGAGTGTCCATATACTACTGTAGCTGTACCATGATATTTGCATTGCTACTAAGTAACCCTCCAATTGTTCTCCACTATTCCGAACGCTAAAGCCCCTCCCCATCCCAACGTGGGTTGTCATCCCAGTGACCAGCAGACCACCCCCGTCCCCCCGGATCCCTAGGCCCCCCGAGAGGCCAGGACACATCCTTCGAAAACAGTACACAGTGCCACCCACGGCGGCGCACAATTGGCCCAGCGTCGTCCAGGGTAGGGGAGGGAATGGCTGGCAGGGATGTAGCTCAGTTGATAGAGCATGGCGTTTGCAATGCCAGGGTTGTGGGTTCGATTCCCACGGGGGGCCAGTATAAAAAATATGCATTCACTAACTGTAAGTCGCTATGGATAAGAGCGTCTGCTAAATGACTAAAATGTAAATGAGAGCTTTGTACACTCTTGGCATTCTCACAACCAGCTTCACCTGGAATGCTTTTCGAACAGTCTTGAAGGAGTTTCCACTTATGCTTAGCACTTGTTGGCTGCTTTTCCTTCACTCTATGGTACGAACCAAACCATCTCAATTGGCTTGAGGTCGCGGGATTGTGGAGGCCAGGTCATCTGATGCAGCACTCCATCTCTCACCTTATTGGTAAAATAGCCCTTACAAAGCCTTGAGGTGTGTTGGGTCATTGTCCTGTTGAAAAACTAATGATAGCCCCACTAAGCCCAAACCAGATGGTCTTATGTCCATTGCTTGTGTTTCTTGGCCCAAAAAGTCTCTTCTTATTATTGGTGTCCTTTAGTAGTGGTTTCTTTGCAGCAATTCGACCATGAAGGACTGATTCACACAGTCCCCTCTGAACAGTTGATGTTGAGTAGTGTCTGTTAATTGAACTCTGTGAAGCATTTATTTGGGCTGCAATTTCTGAGGCTGGTAACTCTAATGAACTTATCCTCTGCAGCAGAGGTACATCTGGGTCTTCCATTCCTGTGGCGGTCCTCATGAGAGCCAGTTTCATCATAGCGCTTGATGATTTTTGCGACTGCACTTGAAGAAACTTTCAAAGTTGTTGAAGTTTTCCGTATTGACTGACCTTCATGTCTTAAAGTAATGATGGATTGTTGTTTCTCTTTACTTATTTCAGCTGTTCTTGACATAATATGGACTTGGTATTTTACCAAATAAGGCTATCTTCTGTATAGAGCTGAGCTGTCAAAGGACACCAGAAACAAAATTGTAGACCTGCACCAGGCTGGGAAGACTGAATCTGCAATAGGTAAGCAGCTTGGTTTGAAGAAATCAACTGTGGGAGCAATTATTAGGAAATGGAAGACATACAAGACCACTGATAATCTCCCTCGATCTGGGGCTCCACGCAAGATCTCACCCCGTGGGGTCAAAATGATCACAAGAACGGTGAGCAAAAATCCCAGAACCACACAGGGGGGACCTAGTGAATGACCTGCGGAGAGCTGGGACCAAAGTATCAAAGCCTACCATCAGTAACACACTACGCTGCCAGGGACTCAAATCCTGCAGTGCCAGACGTGTCCCCCTGCTTAAGCCAGTACATGTCCAGGCCCGTCTGAAGTTTGCTAGAGTGCATTTGGATGATCCAGAAGAGGATTGGGAGAATGTCATATGGTCCGATGAAACCAAAATAGAACTTTTTGGTAAAAACTCAACTCGTCGTGTTTGGAGGACAAAGAATGCTGAGTTGCATCCAAAGAACACCATACCTACTGTGAAGCATGGGGGTGGAAACATCATGCTTTGGGGCTGTTTTTCTGCAAAGGGACCAGGACGACTGATCCGTGTAAAGTATAATAAACTATAAATAATGAATGGGGGAATGTATCGTGAGATTTTGAGTGAAAAGCTCCTTCCATCAGCAAGGGCATTGAAGATGAAACGTGGCTGGGTCTTTCAGCATGACAATGATCCCAAACACACCGCCCGGGCAACGAAGGAGTGGCTTCGTAAGAAGCATTTCAAGGTCCTGGAGTGGCCTAGCCAGTCTCCAGATCTCAACCCCATAGAAAATCTTTGGAGGGAGTTGAAAGTCCGTGTTGCCCAGCGACAGCCCCAAAACATCACTGCTCTAGAGGAGATCTGCATGGAGGAATGGGCCAAAATACCAGGAAGAGTGTGTGAAAACCTTGTGAAGACTTACAGAAAACGTTTGACCTGTGTCATTGCCAACAAAGGGTATATAACAAAGTATTGAGAAACTTTTGTTATTGACCAAATACTTATTTTCCACCATAATTTGCAAATAAATTCATAAAAAATCCTACAATGTGATTTTCTGGAGAAAAAAAATCTCATTTTGTCTGTCATAGTTGATGTGTACCTATGATGAAAATTACAGGCCTCTCTCATCTTTTAAGTGGGAGAACTTGCACAATTGGTGGCTGACTAAATACTTTTATTCCTCCCTGTATATTGATTTCTTTAACACTTTTTTGGTTACTACATGATTCCATATGTGTTATTTCATAGTTTTGATGTCTTCACTATTATTATACAATGTAAAAAATAGAAAAAATAAAGAAAAACCCTTGAATGAGTAGGTGTGTCCAAATTTTTTGACTGGTAGTGTATATTCAAATATCTTACATATCTTAATTTCCATCATTAACAATTAATATGCTTAATAATGTTGGCATTTCATGCAAAGGATTGTTACCTATAACCAGTATTGCCATATTATTTTAGCAAACAATTATTGTGATTCATCCTATATTGTCCCTATCATCCTTACCGCCTTGCAACAGATGTTGGATACATACACACACACTCTTACACACTCAACCCCTTTCCCCCACAATCAACCATAAGCTCAGATGTTCGGTTGTTACATCCCAAAGCCCAACTCAAGAAATGACCTTATTTATGAACGCTTATACAGTTACAGCTGTTTGACAAAGCATGCAAGATTGAGCAAAAATTGGCAACAATTTGAGATTTGATTAACCAATGTCAAGTCCTAGGTGAAGGACTGTTTCTTGCCTTACTGTTAAGTGATAATATGTCATTCACAAGTGATAGGCTAATAGTGTCACCCATCAAAAGTTGAGAAATAAATATAGTAGGCCTAGCCTATAGAAAGCTGGGATCCTCCTCTTTTTAATAGAGACCATCAAAACTCTGTTTTCTAACGCAATTCCATAGCCTATAGAAATGTTGTGCAACATCAGCTCATGATCTCTCATGAAGTGTTTGATTAGATTTTCGATTACATTTGCATTGATGTCAGAGTGATTAGAGGGACAATAGAGTGCTGAGTACCAGGCAGTTAGCAAGTTTGGTAGGCTACTAATGACCATCAGCAGCATCAGAGCTTGGAGAAGCTTAGTTACCGTGACTAAACTGTCACATGGAATTTGACTGCGGTCATGACTCGTGCCCGCCGGTGTGGCGGTAATACGGTCACCGTAACAGCCCCATGTTAGGGTTAGGGTTAGGGGAAGGGTTAGCTAACATGCTAAGTAGTTGCAAAGTAGCTAAAAAGTAGTAAGTAGTTGCAAAGTTGCTAAAATGCTAAAGTTGTCCGTGATGAGATTTGAACACGCAACCTTTGGGTTGCTAGACGTTTTGCCTTAAGTAACCTTCTGTCTTATGTAACCATACCAAACATTATATATCATACTAAATTGAGTGTCCCAGATTTACATTTACTATGTTACTTCTAGTCTATGAGACCAGGCTGAGAGACTGAGCACCAGAGCATTAGGCTGTGATAAACGGTTAAGCATTCCAGACACCATTCAAACGGTATGATCACTGCCTTTTAAATACCTCTCTCCTCGTGGCTGCATATGAAAATCAACATTAAAGCTAGCAGTTTTACAGCCCGCAATTTAATTTCAAGCCCTCTCCCTCTCTGCCAGAAGACATTTGGATATTAGTGCTGAGAATAGAGGACGCTCTCCCCCAGCAATCTAACTCAATAAGACTGACAGAGGCATGGGGTTTTAGTGTCTGTCTATTTACTAAGGATTCACTTTAGCTGTTGTGTACTATACATCATTATACTTTTTAACACTATTGTGCTATGGTATACTTTGCAGGAAGTCGTTTAGTTTCTTTGATGTACTACATGTGGTTGTAGTGTGCCGCAGCCATGATTTATCACAGATGCCCTCATAAACCTGTACATAACTCTGTACATAACTCTCTGGGCTGTAATAGAGTGTTAAATTGTCATCTTACCTGGCTGCCTCAGTGGATCAACAACCACTTAGGGGGCCAAGAGTACACAGAAACATTTGTCATCTAGAGACTATCATTTCTTGTTTGCATTAATGCTATAGGAACAGCACAGAACCAATAAAGATAAAACGATTTGTTACACACTGCATTCAAGAGCCCATACTGTAGATATCTCCCATAGCCTAACAACAGACTATTTGTAAGCATAGCAACAGTATTTTTATTAAGGCTTGTCTCTTGGTATTCGGTTCTGACTTTTTAACAGGATATTGAAGGCCAACTAACCAAGTTTTTCCCTGCAGCTTTTGAACTATTATTAACCAAATACCAATCAAATGTCAATACATCAAACTTAAATTACAAACCACATCCTGAAGAAAGGCCTCAGGGCTCGGTGTGCTAACATAGGTTCTAATCAAATGAACACGCAGATTTCTCCTACACTAATATTTCCACCATAATGAAGCAGGAAGCTCTCTACAGTAAATCAATGAGGCGCAGAGTGAGAGTCCAGCCGCCCTAGGTCATCCATTCAATTCCTAGTTTATCGCTGGCTCCACTGAGCCCAGTTATTGCCATTATCATACCACCATTTCCATCTCTGTTGAGCCTGTACAGTGTGTATGCTGCAGGCAAAGACTTAATGTGTGGAGACAATCCCCTAAGAATTAAATTACATGCGGCCTCCTTTCCATTGTACGTCGTCGTATAGGGCCATAAAGCCTGATTGTTTTGCTATTACAAATAATGGCTCCACAGTGAATGCAGTCAGGCAGATTAGCTGATGGTAGGGCCTCAGGCAACAGATGCTGAGGTAATGTCCTTGATCATTCTGCCCCGGCAGAGAGGGAAAATAGGATGGAAAGAGGAGGGAACGACTGGAAGTGTGGACCTGATCTCTGCCCTCAGTGACAGCTGTACTGGGAGTTTGAATGGCATCCTATCTCATCAATGACCATTGCTGCTTCACCAGCCAAGGGTCAACAGGTATTGATGCACAGAGCCAAAGCGGATAAAGGATTATTACTAGTGGCAGTGGTGGCTAGTCGTAGGTTTGACCACCACTTTGGCATTAGGCCACACTAATCACATGCCTTTGGAATAACATGTCACTGAGTAAAATAGTCCAATAAACTCAATATGACTTGACCTCTAACCTATTATGGCAGGTTGAATTTGTAATCTGTCATGTATTGTGAATTGTATGACTTATTAAGTACAGCAAATCAATGGTATTGATGATGATGACAATGATTACAAATCATAACTGATTCATGGCAACTAATCAGCAGTAATCACAGGTGGCAGGGCCGCCTACAGCATCAGTGGTAATGTAATTGGGTGCTCAGGAGAGAGTCACTCTACTACTCATCAGTCCAGAGTAGACCAGCCCTCATTGATGGGACCGGGCCGGATGCAGTCTAAAGTTTATTTCTCCTTAATAGCATTTATTGAGCAGTTGACAATTGGAATTGAGTGTTTAACCCAACCACATAAATATCAATACATCACAGCAGGACTGTGGTCGAGGCAGATTGAACCTCTCTTACCAGGGACAACACTATTGATCTTTGTTTAAGGGTAGTGTTTCAGCAGTGAGCTCGTATGGAGCAAGGCTCACATGTCCTTAAAATCAGAGTAATTCACCAGACCTTTCACTTCGTTTTCAAAGGTTGTTTCAACTGTGATGCTGATGATGCTGAACCACAAAACCACATGTTGTCCCTGGGCAGGCAATCAAACTGAATCGAATGGAACTTGAGGCTGTGGATCAAATCATACTGTCACTTGACATTTGAGTGGATGGCTTTCTTTGACATGTGAAATATTGTAATCTCATTGGCCGTTCAATACATACTGACTTAGTGGAGGTGATAAATTGATTGGTTGGGGAATGTATCCCTCTGCTCTTCAGACCTCTCCAGCCGTCTCCTAACCACAGACATGGCCAATCGACAGACTCCTGTATTTTACATGACCAGATGAAAAATGCATCTCTACCCTTGGGACTGAGTATCAATTACGAAATGCAGAGATACTTTGTTTAGTGATAAGGGAGTTAGAGTAGGAAATGACCCTGCCTTCCTCTCCCTCCCATCTGGTGTCACACCAACAGATGTCCCCATTACAGAGAAGACACACTGAGAGACACATGACTGAAACCTCTAGGAGTCAGCTATAGTATTCATAAGACTTATAGGTGGGTGGTGGGAGATAGTTGAGTGGTTAAAAGCATTACATGACATGAACCAGAACAACGTGATCTATTTCAGTGATGAATTACAGACATATCCAAGAACCATGTCTCTACCTGTCTAGACACTCGTTAAATGTCGACCTCAGCGTGAGGGATCAGGGAAGTCATAAAGGAATTGAAACAGGGCTTAGTTTATGTTTGCTTTCACCAATATCAGCCTGAGTGACCACTCTTTTCTGTATGTACCGCACACACAACATTCTCAACCCTCAGGAGAGTTGAATAAGAAAGGGGCATTCTCAACCTGGTCTCAGAGCATTTCGTAATATTCTGTACGTAAATCTGAGACAAAGCATTTAGTATGATACATTACGTTTCGTATGGGATGTATTAATTTGTGGATGTCCATCACCCATTTTGTATGATATGTTACAAATTACAATTCGTATTATATGTTACGACTTTTCAAAACATACTATATGTAACGAATTGCAAAATGTACTATATGTTATGAATTTGCAAAACGTATGATATGTTACGAATTCTAGCTAAGTGGCTAGCGTCAGCTGGCTAACATTAGCTAGGGGTTAGGGTTAGGGGTTAGGGTTAAGGTTAGGGGAAGGGTTAGCTAGAAGGGTTAAGGTTAGGGTTTGGGGAAGGGTTAGCTAACATGTGAAGTAGTTGCAAAGTAGCTAAAAAGTAGTAACTAGTTGAAAATTAGCTAATTAGCTAAAATCCTAAAGTTGTCCGTGATGAGATTCGAACACACAACCTTTTGGATGCTAGACGTTCACATTATATGCCCACCCATCCACCATGACCAGCTACCCTACTTTCGTTTTTGCCTTAAGTAACCATCTGTCTTATGTAACCATAACAAACATATCATGTTAATTTGAGTGTCCAGGATTTACATTTACTATATTACGTCTAGTCTATGGTATTCTAGACACACAAACAGTACTGCAGCATTCATCAGCCTGTCATCTCAGCTAGCACCAGCGCCTTCTGCAGATATTAATTACCTAGAGCTGAAATCTATCTCTCTACAGATCTGTCTCCTTCTCAACGCTTATCCCATCACATTTTTCACACCCCATTATAAGAGGACAAGGTGATTGCGCATACCATGGAGATGAACACAAATTGAAATATCTGAAATATCTAAATCGCGACAGCTTTTGAAATTCGCTGGAAAAAAGGTAAACGTTTCGGTCATACTTGTGCAGTAACGGTTATAAATAGATTGAAGAGTATAGCTGCATTTACATATTGGAATTTGTTTAATATAGAAAGCAAAATATTTTCTGAAAAGTACCTTTTTTCCTTAGACTGATGATTTCAAATAGCAATTTTAAATAGGCTTAACGTTACTGTGAAAGTGATTTATCATTCACATTCAGACCTGCTGTTCCACAACATCATTAGCTCTGTATAACTAATGGGACTTCATACGTTATGATGACTTTATAGGCCTCTATTGTTGCTTTGATGAACCTAACAATTTCACGGGTGCAGTGTGAAAGCATTTCATACTGCCATAACGTCTGATATCAATTAGAGAGAATGTAATACACTGACATAAAAATTTGACACAATACCTACAGCACTGAATGACTTAAACATGTGGTTGCCTTCTGAACCCCCACAGATGCACCCCTATGCTTTAATAGAGTCTGAAAAGCCATGCTTTGAAGATTTGTTGAGGGTGTTCTTTGCTCAGTGCGTTAGGATAAAGCCCTGATGGTTGGGCTCACTTGTCTGAGTATGAGGGGGAATTATGATGTGATGCTGGAGCCAGAGAGAGCTGCTCAACAGGAGACCCTGTGGTGTCTGCTCTCATGCAGGATGCATGTGGGTGAGAGCCAAGTCATTTACTGAGCACAGATTCTGTTTGTTGTTGGTTGATGCTTTTCAAAACCAGTCTGTTTCACCCTCAGCAGAATAGTAGGAAATACTTGTATTTTGAGCAAGGTTTATTTTTCAAATTGGATGTGTTGTCTTTTATTCAATGAGTTGGTGTTAATACAATGCTATTGTTAATACATACCTGTGATATTTTCGAATATCCAGTAGGTGATGGTTGTTTTGCTATTTCAATGGATCGCCACTCAGTAGCCTGTACTGTACTCAGACTAATTGCTTATGAGGTGGTCTCACTCGTCTCTGACCCAAAATAAATATTATATTTCTACACCCCTTTACTGTTGGATCTCCATTCACCTCTCTCTTGTGGTCTGTTTGCTCTGAGTCTCCGGGGCATGGCTGCTATTCTCCCATTTCTTTGTGAATGATTGAGGGGCTTGAATCTTTAAAGTTCACCCGCTTCCTCAATAAGCAGTGTTCTGTGCTGCCAGTCTAATGGAGATCACATGGTCTGTATATGCACTAACAGTGAAGTGTGCATGTGTGTGGGAGAGTTGCAATGAATAGAATTCTACATCACCCACTGCTTCATTATTGGTTACTATTCTGAAGAGGGCTTTTTTTCCACACAGTTCTGTATAATCAATGGACAATATGAATTCAGCGCATTAAAGGCTGTACTTAAAAACCTATTCATATATCCAACAATACATTTCAACCCTACAGGGACAGAGTCTAACCACACATGGTGAACAGCAACATTACTGCATTAGCTTCCCTTTCTATGGCTGTTTGGGATACACAAAGGCCATGGCTCATTGTGAGTGGCGATGCACGGGACACAGGTCACAGGTATAATTGGTCCATTAGAGGCCTGGTAGAAGTTCTCATTACTCCCCCACTGTGGTCCCCATCTGCCCCCCTCTCCCTGCTCTAACACAGTGAAATGTGGGGGTTATTACCATGGCAGTGCCAGCTCTCAGACAGGCCAAACAAGACACACAGGGCCACTTAGAAACACTGATGAGCTATTTCCTAAACGGTAAGTGGACTGGATGTGATTGGACAAACTGGGCCTTGGGCTCAGGCAAATAGAAACAGTTAGCTGTTATGTCATATGAATGATATATGAATATGTAGCTCAGTTGGTAGAGCATGGCACTTGCAACGCCAGGGTTGTGGGTTCGTTTCCCATGGGGGGACAGCATGAAAATTTATGCACTCACTAACTGTAAGTCGCTCTGGATAAGAGCGTCTGCTAAATGACTAAAATGTAAAATGTAATGAATGATACTCTTGTCTTGATATGAAAATGGCAGATGTTCTGTCAGGAGCCATGTCTAGATACAGTCTTAAAGTCCTTGAGGCATGAATTGGGTTGCCAAATTGTTGGAAGGGTTTCATTACTATTGTCATGTACTGTAACAGATCATTGTCATTTACTGTATTAGAGAGAAAGGGAGAGAGACAGAGGGGGAGTTTGAGGGGCAAGGAGGTGGCACTCTATTTGCCAGGCACATCAGAGGCATATTAGAATGCATTATTCTTCTGCAAGCCTGTCATACTTCCTTAGCTTGCGGAGACAAAAGATTTTGGCTTAATGCTGTGTTGTTTTTTCCCCTTCTCCTGGTGTTTTCACATGAAAGACTGCGGTGGGATGAGGAACAATGGGCCCGACAGCCCTCTGCTATCTGACAGCTCTGTAAAAGTCTATTAGCACAATACTTCTCCTATGTAATTACATAGCTGAAATGACAGCCCTTGTCATTTTTCAGCCTAACATGAGCAAGCCGTGTTGACTAGTGATGAGAGCTATCAGCATAAAGAGCGCTGCGGCTGAACCAAATGCTACTAGAGGATTTCTATCTCTATACCTCAAACCTTACTACACTGGACCACATTGTTTCAGACACATTTGTATTGTGCATTGGGTGTGCATCACTGGTGAATCAGAATGGAGTAATTGATAGGGAGGAGACCTGTGTGAGGGTGTCCTGGTGTGTGTAGTCGTGTGGTTCTGTGTTGTGACCTCACCTTGGTAACGCAGCAGCAGCAGGGAGCTGGAGCGGGGCTGCTGGTCACTGTGGTAACGGATGGAGATCTGATTGCTCCAGCTGCGCACCACCAGACCCCTCATCAGGACGGTCTCGTTGGCAAGGATGGAGGACTCCTGTCCCCCCACGTCCTCCACCGTCATCACCTCCCCCTTCCGACATGCTCACGTTCAGCACCTGCAAACACACACACACACCACACTAGTCAGTCCAATGTCACATTAGTTTCCATTGTGTGACGTTTCCAAACAGCCTATTAAAATTGGTTGTCTGTTTCTTTGCTTCTCAAGCTACAGCTGTCAACAGTCCAGGAGACAATCTAGCTAATACTCATTACCACACAGCAGAATGGGACACTACATTAATGGTTCATGTCCAGCTTGAGATGTAGATGAGGTTTAATACAAGATATCATCAGAAACACTGCCACCTACACTACCGGTCAAACGTTTTAGAACACTTACTCATTCAAGGGTTTTTCTTTATTTTTACAATGTTCTACATTGTAGAATAATAGTGAAGACATCATAACTATGAAATAACACAAATGGAATCATGTAGTAACCAAAAAAGGGTTAAACAAATCAAAATATATTTTATATTTGAGATTCTTCAAATAGCCACCCTTTGCCTTGATGACAGCTTTGCACACTCTTGGCATTCTCTCAACCAGCTTCACCTGAAATGCTTTTCCAACAGTCTTGAAGGAGTTCCCACATATGCTGAGCACTTGTTGGCTGCTTTTCCTTCACTCCATCTCAATTTGGTTGAGGTCAGGGTATTGAGGAGGCCAGGTCATCTGATGCAGCACTCCATCACTCTCCTTCTTGGTAAAATAGCCCTTACACAGCCTGGAGGTGTGTTGGGTCATTGTCCTGTTGAAAAACAAATGATAGTCCCGCTAAGCCCAAACCAGATGGGATGGCGTATCGCTGCAGAATGCTGTGGTAGCCATTCTGGTTAAGAATAAATCACAGACAGTGTCACCAGCAAAGCACCCCCACACCATAACACCTCCTCCTCCATGCTTTACGGTGGGAAATACACATGCGGAGATCATCCGTTCACCCACACTGCGTCTCACAAAGACACGATGTGGGTGAACGGTCTAATGTCCATTGCTCGTGTTTCTTGGTCCAAGCAAGTCTCTTCTTCTTATTGGTGTCCTTTAGTAGTGGTTTCTTTGCAGCAATTCGACCATGAAGGCCTGATTCACACAGTCTCCTCTGAACAGTTGATGTTGAGATGTGTCTGTTACTTGAACTCTGTGAAGCATTTATTTGGGCTGGAATTTTCTGAGGCTGGTAACTCTAATGAACTTATCCTCTGCAGCAGAGGTAACTCTGGGTCTTCCATTCTTGTGGGGGTCCTCATGAGAGCCAGTTTCATCATAGCACTTGATGGTTTTTGCAACTGCACTTGAAGAAACTTACATTTTCTGTATTGACTGACCTTCATGTCTTAAAAGTAATGATGGACTGTCGTTTCTCTTTGCTTATTTGAGCTGTTCATGCCATAATTACCAAATAGGGCCATCTTCTGTATACCCCCCCCCCCCCCCCCCCCCCCCTTTGTCACAACACAAATGATTGGCTCAAACGCATTAAGAAGGAATGAAATTCCACAAATTAACTTTTAACAAGGCACACCTGTTAATTGAAATGCATTCCAGGTGACTACCTCATGAAGCTGGTTGAGAGAATGCCAAGAGTGTGCAAAGCTGTCATCAAGGCAAAGGGTGGCTATTTGAAGAATCTCAAATATAAAATATATTTTGATTTGTTTAACACTTTTTTGGTTACTACATGATTCCATGTGTGTTATTTCATAGTTTTGATGTCTTCACTTTTATTAAACAATGAAGAAAATAGTACAAAATAAAGAAAAACCCTTGAATGTGTAGGTGTTCAAAAGCTTTTGACCGGTAGTGTATATCCTCATCATTCCCCACCACTGCTGCATTAGGACTGAGGGTCTGGCCCATATTCCACCCAATAATCCGGTCCCTCTTCCCACCTAGCCTGCCTCCCTCCCACTTTGTACATCACTGCAGGCGAATGTGCCCCAGAAACCATCACTTGACCCTGACTGGCCATTTGTGTGGTCACGGCTCACATCAGACAGGATTTAATTCAATTGACACCCCCATCATTCCTGTCTCATTTCCAACCAGAGCCAGTCTCTTAATGTTTGCCTTGAAAAATGGGCCACTCGAGATATGCCTCCTTCTGTTCAATTTCTATTAACAAACTGGCAGCAGGATGTATTTGATCAGAGAATATGATTTGGAAAGACTGTAGAGTTTGTCTGGATCATTCCACGCATGGTTCGTTACACTGTATGGCTGGTAAAGGCTTACCCCTTCAGTATTATTCAGGCCCGTAACTGTAGTTAAAACCGGTGTGTTTCTTTCTCCAGTTTTCTGTCAGCCTCTGTGACAGCTGTGTTTTATCTCTTCAACAGACTGACCAAGCAGCTGCAGCTGAATGTACTGACGGCCACTCCAGAGAATGTGCTTTAGTTTTACTGGTTGAATAATGTAGCATTAGCATAAGCCTCATTTAGGGGAGGGGAATATTTGCAGTTTCCCCAGAACTACACTACCGTTCAAAAGTTTGGGGTCACTTAGAAGTGTCCTTGTTTTCGAAAGAAAATACTTTATTTTGTCCATTAAAATCTAATCAAATTGATCAGAAATACAGTGTAGACATTGTTAATGTTGTAAATGGCTATTGTAGCTGGAAACGGCAGATTTTTTATGGAATATCTACATAGGCGTACAGAGGCCCATTATCAGCAACCATCAGTCCTGTGTTCCAATGGCACATTGTGTTTATCATTTTAAAAGGCTAATTGATCATTAGAAAACCCTTTTTCAATTATGTTAGCACAGCTGAAAACTGTTGTGCTGATTAAATAAGCAATAAAACTGCCCTTCTTGAGACTAGTTGAGTATCTGGAGCATCAGCAATTGTGGGTTTGATTACAGGCTCAAAATGGCCAGAAACAAATAACTTTCTTCTTCTAGAAAGAGGAGTGGGAGGCCCCAGGGGGCACAACTGAGCAAGAGGACAAATACATTAGAGTGTCTAGTTTGAGAAACAGATGCCTCACAGGTCCTCAACTGGAAGCTTCATTAAATAGTACCCGCAAAACACCAGTCTCAACGTCAACAGTGAAGAGGCGACTCCGGGATGCTGACCTTCTAGGCAGAGTTGCAAAGAAAAAGCCATTTCTCAGACTGCCCATCTTAATCTTTTCTTTTTATTGGCCAGTCTGAGATATGGCTTTTTCTTTGCAACTCTGCCTAGAAGGTCAGCATCCCGGAGTCGCCTCTTCACTGTTGATGTTGAGACTTCTTTAATCAGCAACAGTTTTCAGCTATGCTAATATAATTGCAAAAGGGTTTTCTAATGATCAATTAGCCTTTTAAATGATAAACTTGGATTAGCAAACACAACGTGCCATTGGAACACAGGACTGATGGTTGCTGATAATGGGCCTCTGTACGCCTATGTAGATATTCCATTATAAATCAGCCGTTTCCAGCTACAATAGCCATTTACAACATTAACAATGTCTACAATGTATTTCTGATCAATTTGATTTGATTTTAATGGACAAAAAAATTGCTTTTCTTTCGAAAAAAAAGGACACTCCTAAGTGACCCCAAACTTTTGAACGGTAGTGTATATGTATTATCTAGAGTGTAGCAGTGGGTAACATATATGAAAGACAACCAGGGATCTGATAATCATCTTGAACAAATGCACCAGATTACAGTACATCTACTGGCCCAGTGATATCTTGTAGCCTGTCCCCTGATCCAGACTTCAGGCCTGGCGTGTGGTATGGTGTGGGAATGGGAGCGTGCTGTGGCCTTCGGATAGGCTGCTCTCCCAGGGGGAATGACAGTGTCACTGAGGCAGACAGAGAGCCCAGAGTGTGACGCGGAGGATAACCAGGCGAGATACTGGCACCAGACTGAATTTGGTCTCACTGACAACCTGTCACTCGGTTGAGGGGGTGCCAACGATGGGTGTGAAGGGGGTTTACTCCCGCTCTACAGACAGAGCTGAAATGCGACTGTCTTTTACTCTGTCTCCCTCAGACATAAGCCAAGACTGAGGTCAAACTCCTTTAGTTCTTACCCAGAATGCCAAACAAAAATAAAGCTTTCCCAGGTCATCAAACTATTTAAAAAAATAAAGAATTATAAGCCTCATCAAGTTGAGGCCCACAATCAAATACTGTATACATAACAGGTGTAAATTGAAACCATTTAGTATTTTCTGAATCTTTACATAACCAAATTAATTTAACATTGTGTTGACAATCATGCCTTTCGTGAATATTGTGGAGATTAAAAATAAGACCAGACTTGATAAAGCCAACACTATTCTATGCATTCACAGTGGCTTGCGAAAATATTCACCCCCCTTGGCATTTTTCCTATTTTGTTGCCTTACAACCTGGAATTAAAATATACTTTTGGGGGGTTTGTATCATTTGATTTACACAACAGGCCTACCACTTTGAAGATGGGAATTAAAAGGGAATTAAGTTCCATTTACACGCACTTAACTTGGGTCAGAATCGGCTCCTTTGAGATCACATGCCAGTTTTGGTACAGTGGTACAGTGCCTTGCAAATGTATTCATCCCCCTTGCCGTTTTTCCTATTTTGTTGCATTACAACCTGTAATTTAAATGGATTTTTACTTGGATTTCATGTAATGGACATACACAAAATAGTAAAAATTGGTGAAGTGAATAGAAAAACATAACTTGTTTCAAAAAATTTGACAAAATAAATAACGGAAAAGTGGTGCGTGCATATGTATTCATCCCCTTTGCTATGAAGCCCCTAAATAAGATCTGGTGCAACCAATTACCTTCAGAAGTCACATAATTAGTTAAATAAAGTCTAAGTGTCACATGATCTGTCACATGATCTCAGTATATATACACCTGTTCTGAAAGGCCCCAGAGTCTGCAACACCACTAAGCAAGGGGCACCACCAAGCAAGGGGCACCTTGAAGACCAAGGAGCTCTCCAAACAGGTCAGGGACAATATTGGGTAGAAGTACAGATCAGGGTTGGATTCAAAAATAATTCTGAAACTTTGAACATCCCACGGAGC